AAAAAAAATTTAAATTATGTTAAGAAAGTGTTTATTCCCATTTTATTGGCTTTTTAAAATAAGAAAATATATACCCATTGTCTATGAAGACAGTTATGACTTTTGTTCTTGAGCTAATCATATGATTGATCTTGATATAGTTCCTAAATAAATCTATTTTGCATTCTTACTATGAATGCCACAAGGCTGTGATGTTTTATTCTTGAATTAAAATGCTAGATTATGTTTGTTACTTTATTTAGTGAAATTAGTCTGTTCTTCTCTTTTCGAGAAATTTTTATGAAGATTCCATACAGCTGTTCTGTAACCTCATGAAAGAAATAAAAACCACAAAAAATGCAAGAAAGAATTAACAATTGTAATAGCAAGTGTGAATAGTGGTAAAGATCTCTAAAACCAGTAAATAAATCTAAATTTTGTTCTCTGAATAAAAGAGATAAAAAATATAAAAAATAATCAAATGGATAAACCACCACCTCATTTAATCAAAAAAAAGGAGGGGCACCTGGGTGGTGCATTCGGTTAAGCGTCTGACTCTTGGTTTTGTCTCAGGTCATGATCTCAGGGTCATGAGATCAAGACCCACGTTGGGCTCTGTGCTCTGCTTGAGATTCTCTCCCTCTCCCTCTCTCTCTCCCTCTGCCCCTCCCCATCCATGCTCTCTCTCTGTCTCTCTCTAAGATAAATAAATAAATCTGCTTTTAAAAAATGGAGAAATTTCAGTAATAAATTCTAAGAAGGAAATACTACAGAAACAGAGGAAATTAAAAGAATCATAAGAGACACCTTTACTTTAACATATGCAAAATTTGAAAACATGAGAGAAATGGATAATTTTTCCAGAAGATACAGTTTATCAAAACTGATCCCAAAGGGTAAGAAATTTTAAAGACATCAACCTTATGGAGGCAGTAGAGAAAGTTTTCAGAGAGCCACTACCCAAAACTACATAAGGGCCAGGCAATGTGACAGGAGGACTGTAACACAGTGAGAGGGGTCATTCCCCGTTTAGCCATCCCCCAGAGCGCACCCTACACCTCCACGCCACACTCCACAGCTCTCTTATCTTCGATGGTGGGGCTGTCCTAGGGGGACTCTCTGCTCCTCACAGATATCAGTGGACTGTCCCTCCTCCTCCTCCCTCGTGTTCTCCTATGGAGTCTCATCCTGTCTTCTCCTCCATCTACAGATGGTAGCCCCTTCCCCATTAACTCCTCTTCTAACCTAACCTCTAACCTCCTCTCCCACTGTCACTTCCAGACCCGCAGGTCCCTCTGGGGGGATCTGGTTCCCAACTATCCAACATACCTCTAACAGCACATGTGTCACTTGGCATCTGATGGCTGGTCTTGCAGCTGCTCTGGCCAAGCACCCCTGGAACCATGCTCAGTGTGTTCCTTTCTCTCAAACTCAAATGCGGTCTTGAGCAACGCTTCTAAGCTCTTCCCGAAAAGCACACAGAAACAGACAGTCCCCTGCTCTTGTTACTGACATCCTGGTCTGCGCCACACTTCTCTGGTCCCGGCTGTTGAAACATCTTCTCCTTAAGCTTCTGCCAGTGCCCCTTCCATCCCTTCTCTGTTCCAGGGCCTGGGAGATTCTAGTAACACAGGAAACACAATTTCTTTTTGCTCAAGCTCTCCTTGGGGTCTCACATCTGATCCAAAGTAAAAGACAAAATCATTAAAAAGACCAGGGAGCCCAGCACGCATTGCCATCTGCCACCAGCCAGAGGATGCTCCCTAGTGTCACCTCCTCCGTGAGACATCATCTCCTGCTCCACCCTGCTTCTCCACTCCAGCCCTCACGCCACTTCCTTTTGTCCCTGAGCCGGCAGCTACCTTCCAGCCTTCAGCTTGACCTTCCCCTCAGCCTGGATGGCTCGTCTTTCCATTTGTCCATGGACTCCGGTCCTTCTGGCCCCTACCCAACCATCTCACTTTCTTTGCAAAGTCTTTCCAGACAAAGTATTTAGAGCTGCAACAGCCTTTCCCTACTTCTATGCCCCTTTTTATCCACTGCACTGACCGCCCTGAGATAGCCTATGATGTACCTTCAGTTAGGGTATGAAGCTGATGGTCTGCCTTGCCTCCTCCCCACTGGAATTTTAGTTCACAAGGGCAAGAATCACTGTGGTTCCGTTGTCTCTCAAACAATTCATGGAATGCCCTACGTGCTTAAAAAGTCATCCTGTTTTTCTTGTTTTCCTAAGTTCTTAACAAACATCTTTTTTTTCCTGTTTTTTAAACAGATGAATTAGGAAGTGAGGCAATGTAATACAAAACTCAAATAACTTTAAAGAGCTCCCACAACGAAAAGGCAGATTTGAAATTGTTCTGCCTTCTTTCATAGTATACACCAATTCTGTCTAATTTTGTCACTAATAAGTTAAAAAAAAAAAGGGGGTGTCCGTGATAGTAAGATTTTCTATT